CATCTGATGAGATTCCAGTTTATTTCCAAAAATTTAGCAGATTTATAGAGGTAAAATGTTCAAGTAGAGATTAGAATAAAATTGTATGCTGAGAGGCTCTTCCTGTGTGGGTAGGGTTGAGGAAGTCATATGCATTATTTGATTCTTGATATTCACAAAATATGTATAATACAACCTTTCTAATCTGTAAAATATTATGCATGAATGGTAATTAGAAAGAATTAGGATTTTCCCCTTCCAAACTCCTTGAAACCAAAAGGACCAGTGAAAACGATCGCTCTAGTACAGATCAGGAAAAGAAGTGGAAACAACAAAGCTTAGTAAATAAGCCAGCAAAAAAACCCCACCTGATGGCTGGAATAAGTGGTTAGAACAATCAGTGGCAAAATAATGAGTGGGTCCCATTTGTTATTAGAATTAAAGATAGTACTTTTCAAACTGGGTTAAAAGAATTCAGCTAGAGTCTGAGACATAAAATACAAAAGGACACAGAAATCAAATGACTCTGATGTAAAAGTATAAGCAAGTGATATACAAGGCAAATAAATTAAAATAAGAATAGAAATATTACTATGAGATAAATAGAATTTAAGGCAAGAATATTTAAAAAAATGAGGATATTGTGGGTTTGTATAAGAAAGAGAAAAAAGGTAATAACATCAAGAAGATAACACTGTCATGAAAACACCAAAACACTTCTGAATTACAATACATACAACAACTGAAGAAATGAAAAGAAATGAAACAGAGACACACACAATCATAGTGGAAAGTTTATAATCCTTTCTCAGAATATTTCAGAGCAGCATTGTAGTTTCGGGGCAAGAACATAAAGATAGAGATGTGAATAATACGTCTCTCGATGTATTTATGTATATTTTAAAATACATGCATAAAATGAAATATTTCAAGAATACAGAAAAGTCCAGAGGATGAGTATCCATATATGTCAAATCTTATTTTGTCAAATTTTTATAAAAATTTTAGCTTTTTAAAAAGATGAAACACTACAACTACAAATGAAGCACCCTGATTTGCTAGATTCCATTGCTTTCTCTCTTCCCAGAGGTAATCAGTATCATGAATCTGTTGCTTATTGTTCCCATGAGTGTTTTTATAGATACATGAAAAATGTACCCATAACTATATATAACATTGCTTTGCATATTTTAAACGTTATATAAATGACATCAGAGAGCATTACTACTCTGCTACTATTTTTTCATTCAACATTCTTTTTGAGACTTATCCATATTCATAAATGTAGCCCTTGTTCATTATTTTCTTTCCTGTGTTAAGTATTCCACTGCATGACTAAACCACAGCTTAGCCATTTTCTTATTAATGGAATTTCGGTAGTTTCCAATTTTTTGCTATCATAAACATTGCTGCAAATACTTTCTTTTCATATTTAAATGTGGTTCTGTGTACCAGGTCAGCTAAAGATTTATTTATTTTTTCTCAGCTAGAAATTTAACTTTATTTCTTTTCCATCTAGGCAGCCAACTGTCTCAGCACTACATAATAGATGGCCCATCCTTTCCCCCCACTGATTTGTAACACCACCTTTGTCAAATATCAAGTTTCCATGTGAGCATGGGTATGTTTCCACGTTTTGCCTATTTTATTCCATTAATCTGTCTGCTTAACCCTGTATCAAAATCAAACTGTCTAATAATATTCTCCCACCATCTCATTCTTGAACACTGTCTCAGCTTCCAATATATGGTGCCGTTAAAAAAAAAAAAAAAGAAAGAAAAAGAAAAAAAAAAAGGAAGAAAATTGTCTTGGCTGTTCTTATTCCTTAGCTTGTTCACATAATTTTTAGTATCAACTTGTCAAGTTCCATGAAAAATTCTGCTGAGATTTTGATTGGAATTACATTGAATACAAATTTTAATTTAAAGAAAACAAGACGATATATCTCTCCATTTATTTAGATTTCCAATGTCCTTCAATAAAGTCGTATATGTTTCTTTATAAAGGTCTTGCATGTCATTTTTTAAATTTCTTTTTAGGAGCCTTATAGTTTTAAGTGTATTGTAAATGGTACCTTTTAAAAATATTTTCATTTTCTAGGTTTTTGTTGTAGGCTTATAGGCATAAAACATTTTTTTGTATGCTTATCTCATATCCAGAAATCTTTAAATAGCACTAATAGTTTGTCTATTCTCATAAATTTTTTTTGTTTCTTCTTTTCCAGCTTTAATACTAGTTTATTTTTTCATGTCTAACTGCATTTGCTAATCTTCAGGGAAAGTGTTGGGTAGTAATAGGATTATCAGGCTTTTTATAGTGTCTCAGATATTAAGAATTTGCCCTTATTTGTTTTATCTTTAAGAATGGTACTTGTGTGGCGGCATCACATACGCTGAGGCGGGTTTGAGCCCAGCCTGCACCTGCTAAACAATGATGACAACTGCAATCATAAAATAGCTGAGCACTGTGGCGGGTGCCTATAGTCCCAGCTACTCCGGAGGCTGAGGCAAGAGACTCACTTAAGCCCAAGAGTTTGAGGTTGCTGTGAGCTGTGATGCCACAAGGGTGACATAGTAAGGCTCTGTCTCAAAAGAAAAATAATGGTGCTTATGGATGTCATTTCTGCACGCTGGTAAATGCCAGTGCTGCACCTAGGCCAGGTGGTGAGGAAAGGAAAGGGAACGGGAAAGAGAAAGGAAAGGGTGCTTGCTATAGGGTTAGTTGTCTTTTATTTTCTTTTTTTTTTTTTTTAGTAGATACTCTGTTAAGGAATTTCCTTCTAGACCTAATCTATTTTATTTTTACTATGGTTATTATTATTGTAAGTGGAGTTATGTTTTATTTTGTCAAATAAAATAATTCCTTTTCTATCAGGAAAGTCATGTTTCTCCCATTTTCTCAATTTCTTAATGTGATGAATTACATTAATACATTCTCTAATGTTATAATCCTTACTGAAAATTATTCGGTTATAGCATATTTTGATGCATTGCTGGATTCAGTTTGTTATTATTTTATTTATAATTTTTAGGTTTCATAAGTGACACTGGCCTATAATCTTTCTTTTTTTTGGAGACAGTCTCATTTTGTCACCCTTGGTAGAGTGCTGTGGCATCACAGCTCACAGCAACTTCAAACTCTTGGGCTTAAGTGATTCTCTTGCCTCAGCCTCCTTAGTAGCTGGGACTACAGGTGCCCACCATGATGCCCGGCTACCTATAATTTTTCTTATACTTACTTCTTTAGTATTGGTTTCAATGTGCCTCATAAATGAATTGGGAATAATTCCTTTTTTTTCTCCTTTAAGAATTTTACAAAGATTGAGTTTGGCTAGTCCTTTCAGTGTGGTCACCTGGAAAACCATCAGAGCCCAGTGATAATTTCTGTGTGTTTATTCCTTGGTATAAATATTTTAAACTACTAATTTAATTTCTTTCTACTTATTGATCTAATCAGATTCTATATTTCATATTGCTAGGTAGTTTGGTAAGCTATACTTTCCCAGAAATGTTTCCACTCCTTCTAAGTCTTTGTATTTATTGCTCTGGGTTGTTCAATGCATTCTGATCTTTTAAACATCTACTGTATCCGTGGAATATTATGCAGCCTTAAAGAAAGATGGAGACTTTACCTCCTTCATGTTTACATGGATGGAGCTGGAACATATTATGAAACTAGTTTATAGCTTTTGTACAAAAGCTATAGCTCAATCATAGCCCAAGAATATGGGGATGGGGGAGAGGGAGGGGAAGGGAAGAGGGAGGATGGGTGGTGGGAGGATGATTGGTGGGACCACACCTATGGTCCATCTTACAAGGGTACATGTAAACTTTCTAAATGCAGAATATAAATGTCTTATCACAATAACTAAGAAAATGCCATGAAGGCTATGTTAACCAGTTTGGTGAAAATATTTCAAATTATATATAAAACCAGCACACTGTACCCCATGACTGCATTAATGTACACAGCTATGATTTAATAAAAAAAATCTACTGTACCTATAGATATTGTATTTTTTGTTCCAAATACTGCTTGTGTGTTTTCTCTTTTATCTTGATCACTGTTACCAGAAATGTCTATTTAATTAGTCTTTCGGTGTTTACCCTAACAATATCAAAAAATATATTATATGTGGTATCATCATCATGGTATTATTCATAATGGCAAAATATTAGGAACAACCTAATGTAGGAAAGTGGGTAAATAAATCATGGAACCTCCAGTAGTAGAATACTATGCAGCTATAAAAAATGAGAGAGATCTCTATGAATATACAGCGATTTCTAGGATATATCATTAAGCGAAAAAAAATTACGTGAAAGTATGCATAGATGCTCCTTGACTTGTGATGGGGTTACTCTGATAAACCCATGGTAAGTTGAAAATAGGCATTTTGTAGACATGATGAAATGGAAAAACACAAAACACAATATCCAAAAACAGCTGGTAATACAGTAAAAGGTGAAAGATTTATTTGACCTGGAGAAACCAGAGCATAAATGCTGCTAACGCAGTCCGCTGTAGAGTATCAGTTGTTTACCCTGGTGATCATGGAGCTGCCTGGGAGCTGGGCTCTCTGCTACTGCCCAGCACCACAAGAGAATATTATACTACCTATCACTAGCTTGGGAAAAGATCAAAATTTGAAATTGGAAGTATAGTTTTTACTGAATACATATTGCTTTTGCACCATCATAAAGCTAAAATATTCTAAGTTGAACCATGGACTTCCCTATAACCAGAAGGTCCTGATGACAATACTAGGGATGGAAAATGTGCAGAGATGAAGGCACGTTCTGACTCCATGTTGGGTATAAGTCAGCGCACATTTTATGAAAAGAGGTTTGGCTATCAGCATCAAGAGAAATAATCAGAAATGTAAATCCTTTTATCTGGCAATTCCCCTCCAGAAATTTATCCTAAATCCATAACTCAGTCAAACATTAACGAACAATAATGTAAAGTTTATACATTTTAAAAAAGTTTAGCAAAGAAAATCCATTGACAGTAACACTTACAATTGGTGTCCCAAAAGGAATGTAACCTATGAGCAAGAAGAAAAATAAGAGTCAGGTCTTATGATCCACACAATTTCCCCCCCTCACTGCACAAGACTGGACATCCTCCAAGGACCCCAGAATGTCTTCCTTCTTCCCTTGGCTTGTCTTTCTAGCATCAGCTCTTACTATCCTGACATCATGACCATTTTGGGACAAGGAATTCCCTACCCACCTAAGCTGTATACCTCTAAGTACCAGAGCCTTTTAGCTCTCTGGCATCCTCAGGAGAGAGCAGAGAGCCAGGGTGAAGGACAGCCAGGTCCTGGTGCTGGCTCCTCGCTGGTCATAGTCTCCAGGTGATGCTCCCTTTGCAGCCCCAGATGTTGTCAATGGGCAGTCTCCTGTCCCCAGCCCCTAGTCAGCTGGTGGCCAGACAACAGTGAGCATACTTATCTGAGCTACATCTAAACCAAAAGTTAATATTGTAAGCATGCATAATTGTGCATGCACACAGCCCTTTCTCGCCTTGCTCTGGTGAGAGGTCCAGAGTTTGATCAGCTCCTCAGAGGAATTCCTAACTCCAAAAGGTCAGAAATTGGCAGGGCATGGTGTCTCCTGCCTGTGATCCTACCATTCTGGGAGGCTGAGGATCACTTAAACTCAGGAGTTTAAGACAGCCTGAGCAAAAGTAAGACTCTGTCTCTACTAAAAATAGAAAAATTTAGCTGAGTGTGATGACATGCACCTGTAGACCCAGCTACCTAGGAGGCTGAGCCCAGGAATTTGAGCTATGATGATCCCTCTGCACTCTACCTAGGGTGACAGAGTGAGACCCTGTCTCAAAAAAAAAAAAAAAAAAGAAGAAGAAGTTATAAGAGAAGCCAGGCTCAGGAGGAGTGCCTGCTCTGCCCAGTACAGGGACCACAGAATATCTGCAGCCACAACTATAACATACACAGAGCTTCTGCTGCCCTAGAGTCTGTCGTGGCCCCCACTGGCGGCCGATTAAGGTAGTAACTCCTAGATTTGCCTTGAGTGCAAAAATTAGTCCCTCTGCAAAAGGGATGACTCTGTCTGGGAACCCCTCCTCCCACATTTAACCCCACTGATAAAGAATAATAAAAGGCTCTTGAAAATGTAGGAAAGCTGAGCTGGGGCTCGGTGCCTGTAGCTCAGCGGCTAGGGCACTAGCCACATACACTAGATCTAACAGGTTCCAATCCAGCCTGGGCCTGCCAAACAACAATGACAACTATAACCAAAAAATAGCCAGGCATTGTGGCAGGTGCCTGTAGCCCCAGGTACTTGGGAGGCTAAGGTAAGAGAATCACTAGAGCCCAAGAGTTTGAGGCTGCTATGAGCTGTGATGCCATGGAACTCCACCCAGGGTGACATAGTGAGACCCTGTCTCAAAAAAAAAAAAAAAAAAGAAAGAAAGAAAGCTGAGCTGACTTCAGGTCAGACTTCACACTACTGTTTTTCTCTCCTTTCTCTACTAATAAAGCCTTTCCAATCCCTGGACTGGCCTCCTGTCCTTCTTATGGACTTTTCCACCCAACCCTACCCATGAACCCCTCAATCTGGACACTCCAGGAGCTGCAACCATAGTAAGTACCCTGGCCTGCACAGAAGCAGAAGGTTCCCAGGAGCTCACCTGACATTCTAAAAGGCATGAAGATCTTCTCATTGGTGTCCGGGTGTAGAATAGCCTGGAAAGAGCCAGGGATAGAGCACAGGATGACAGTGAGGAAGAGGGGAGAAAAGGAGGAGGGAGCCAAGCAGAGGTGCTTAGGGAGGAAGGGGGAAAAGGACTGCTTCTCCAGGAAGACTCAGACACCAGTAACTGTGTGCTGCCTTCTGCCTGTTAGTCTTTTCCACCCTTTAAAGTAAGAGAATCAAAACATAAATAGCATCCCAACTCCTGACTAATCCTCAAAGCTCAGTGTAGGGAGCATAAAAACCGGTGGGGACCACGGCTATGCCTTCCATACAAACCCTGAACCCCATGCTTAGCACATAGTAGACATATAATGATTTTGTGGATGGACCCTAGTCCCTTCCTAGAGCTCAGAGAGCCCAGGGAAAGGCCAGCCTGGCCTGAGCCTCAGGCTTCAGAAACTCTAGCCCTCAGGTGCTGGGTCAGAAGGAAGAGGTGAGGGAGAGACTGAAGGAACGAAACGGCCATGGGAGGAGGGGCTTCCACTAGATCCAGGACAGGGTTAGGGTGGGGCTCAGGAGGGGATGGAGAACAACAGAAAAAGAGTCCAAAATTGGATTACCTGTTTGATTTTCTGTGCACTCCAGAGCTAGAAGACAGAAAAAGGAAAAAAAAAAAAAAAAGGAAAAGGAAATAAATGATAAATGAAAGCTATATTTTCTATCTAAATCTAAGGCATGATACAATAAAAATTCTCAAAGAAACTGTGGGGAAAACACTTGAAGTTACTGGACCAGGGAAAGACCTTATGAAGAAGACTTCAGTGGCAATGGCAACAACAGCAAAAATAAAACAAATGGAACTTAATTAAATTGAATAGCTTCTGTATGTTAAGAGGCAACAATCAAAGCAAACAGACAATCATCAGAATGGGAAAAGATATTTGCATATTATGAATTTGACAAAAGCTTGATAACTAGGATCTATAGAGAACTCAAATTAATCAACATTTAAGAAGTCAACAATCCCTTATAACAATGGGCAAGAGAGGTGAATAGAACCTTCTCTAAAGACAGACAATGGCTAAGAAACATGAAAAAATGCTATGCTCATCATCTGTCATCATCAGAGAAATGCAAATCAAAACTACACCTAACCCCAGTGAGAATGGCCCAAATCACAAAGTCTCAAAGCTGTAGATGCTGGCATGAATGCGAAGAGAAGGGAACACTTGTACACTGCTGGTGGAACTGCAAACTAATACAACCTTTTTGGAAGGAAGTATAGAGAATCCTCAAAGAACTCAAACTAGACCTCCCATTTGATCCTGCAATCCCATTACTGGGCATCTACCCAGAAGGAAAAAAATCCTTTTATCATAAGGACATTTGAACTAGATTGTTCATCACAGCTCAATTTACAATTGCCAAACTGTGGAAACAATCTAAATGCCCACTGATCCAGGAATGGATTAACAAGCTATGGGGTAGTATACCATGGAATACTATTCAGTCACTAAAAAAGATGGAGACTTTACATCTTTTGTATTAACCTGGATGGAGTTGAAACACATTCTTCTTAGTAAAGCATCATAAGAATGGAGAAGAATCCGATGCACTGAATTCTGAATAAGGACAACTGTATATGGTGGGGGGTATGGCAATGGGGGATCAGAGAGAGGGAAGTAGGGGGTGGTGAGGGGTCATGGTGTGTGACACACCTCTTGGAGGAGGGACACAATTATAAGAGGGACTTTACCTAACAAATGCAATCAGTGCAACCTGGTTCTGGGTACCCTCGATGACTTCTCGACAACAATAACAAAAAAAAGAAAGCCATATTTTCTAACCAAGAGATTCAGATCCAAAAGAATAAGAGGTCCAGGCTGTCATTGTCACCCAGGCTGGGCAGCCACCCTACCCTGGGGGGGTGTGGCATCCTCAGAGAATAAGGGTAAGACAGCTATAGACCCCATAATGGCAGGCTAGGGGATCTCATGCAGATCATTTAAAGTAGGGGTTCCTTTGGGCCAGGTGAGGTGGCTCACACCTATAATCCCAGCACCCTGGGAGGCTGAGGCGGGGGGATTGCTTGAGTTCTGGAGTTCATGACCAGCCTAAGTAAGGGCAAGACCCCCATCTCTACTAAAAACAGAAAAAAACTAGCCAAGCATGGCTAGTGCATACTTGTAGTCCCCACTACTCGGGAGACTGAGAGGATGCTTTAAGCCCAGGAGCTTGAGGTTGCTGTGAGCTATGATGAGCCATGGCATTCTACCCAGTACAATATAGTGAAACTCTGTCTCAAAAATAAATAAATAAATAAAATAAAATAAACCAGGTGTTCTTAATACTGGCTGTACTTTAGAATTGCGTAGAGAATTCTTTCGCTATTTTTCTAAAGCTCCCTATTTGAGTCTAAGTCATGACCGGGTAAGAATCCCTGATTTAAACGAAGACACTTCACTTGCCTCCTAGATTCACCAATGTCAGCACAGCATGATTTTTTTTTAGGAGAAACAACGGCCTGGATTCTTGGCTTTGCCTCTTTAACTTCTGAGCCACAGTTCCCTCATCTATAAAATGAGAGTAATAGCCATACCTCTAACATAGAATTATTTTTTTTTAATTTCTTTTTTAATTTTTTTTTTTTTGAGAACAAGTCTCATTCTGTTGCCCAGACTAGAGTGCCATGGTGTCAGCCTTAGTCATGGCAACCTCAAACTCCTGGATTCAAGAGATAGATCCTCCTGCCTCAGTTACCTGAGTAGCTGGGACTATAGGTGCTTACCACAATGCCTGGCTAAGTTTTCTTTTTCTTTCTTTCTTTTTTTTTTTAGTAGAGATGGGGGTCTCATTCTTGCACAGGCTGATCTTAAACTTCTGAGCTCAAGCAATCCTCCATCCTCAGTCTCCCAGAGTGCTAGGTTTATAGGCATAAGCCACTGTACCTGGCCTAACCCAGAATTGTTGAATAGTTATTTGGAAAGTTCTTAGAGAAGTGTTGGCACATAGTAGGTGCTTTACATGCTTACTGTTGTTATTATTATCCCTATTTTTGTTGTTGTAAGGTTTAAGGAGAAAAGGATTTCTTTTCAAATGAGTGATGAGCTTGTTTCTTTCCAACCCAGAGTGGGGGACAGGGTGGAGAAACAGAACAACCGTCGATCCCTTCAAATGACCTAACTACTGCATGTTATTGAATCTAAGATAGTCTTGATCCTACGATACGCTTTTATATACCACATAAGAAAGAAAACTCTGATGTAATGCCAAGAACCCCATCAAGTATAAAACTCATCCCATTTTAGAGATGCTAAAATGTGATATAGTAAGCCTCTTCAAATCAAGGAATGACAGTAAATAAAAATTTATACTTTGGGCAAACCAAAGGCCAATGCATTTTTAATGTAGCCAGAAGAATATAGGACTAAAAAGAAGATACAGCCCACAGCTGATGTTTAAAGTTTTATAAGAGAATAGTTGCTATGCCTCATATGGTAATGCTGGTCATCTGGAATACAAATTAAGCTACAGAAGTTAAGAAGGCTACTGGGTAGTAAAAATAGAAGTTATAAAATTGATACATTAAACTTTATGCATTTTAGTCACAGCTGAGTCCCTCAAAACTTAATTCACAGCCTAATTAACTCTTATTTTAGACACACTTCCAACACACTTGATTGTCTGCCATTCCAGACCCAGGCAGATTAGAAGCAGTAGATTTTTAAAAATAATAATTGGGAAACTGGTGAGAAAAACCAAATGCAGAATCCCTGGTAACCCAAAGGTAAGTGAGAGTATGATAGTAAAGAGGTTTTAAAGAGTGACAAAAGGCTGGCCTTTCCCTCTCTGCTTGGAAAGGGCCTTCCTGAAGCACATCCCCCAGTCCAGGCTCCGGCCCAGGTGCGCTGCAGGCCTTTGTGTTCAGACTCCTGCCGCCCCAAACTTTCCACCACAATCATAACCTTCTCAGCCTCCCACCTGGTACAGTCCAGCCTCTCACAAACAGGAAGCTGCTTCTCAGTACTGTCTCCCAGCAAACCACCACAGGGTGTGGCAAACAATAGGTGTTCAATAAATGCTTGGTGAAGGAATATAATCTTCTAAAATACATCATATATGTGTAAGTATGCCCAAGATGTAACTGATTTAGGGTTAGGCATGGTGAAGTAAACAAACAGATCTATCTTATCTTCCCAAATCCTTGAAAAAGAACAGCAAATGAATAAAGCAGCTGAAAACCTCATCAGGACAGGAAGGGGAGGAAGAGGTACATGGGAAGTTCTTGGAGTACAGTCAGCCCATGGTAGGTGCATGACAGCATGTGGGAGAGGCCACATGTCTCTGAAGGGTGGAGAGCTGAAGAGGGGATGAATGGCCAGCAGTGCTAAAGAGAGCAGCAGTGCACCCCATGAGCCACTCAGAAGACATATGGTCTGGCAGGGCCAGAGAGCAGGGAGAGGTTGAAAATGTCCCTTTGGGGGAGAAGGGAGGCCCAAAGCTCCACACAGCTGATGAAGGCTTATTCTCCAGGGAAGACTTATCAGAGCAGCCTGGATGTGGGTCACAGGCATAGCAGTGATAAGGCAAAGGTCTGAGTGTTGAACAGGGTTCTCTGCAGGAGCCTGTGTCCAGCTCCCAGAACACAGCCTGGGAAGGGATGGAGATACCTTCTCTAGGGAAACGGACAGGCTCCCAGAGAAATGACCCCCTACGAGGGCCAGCTTTGAGGACATGCCATCCATGCAATGCCCAGCAGGCCCTATTCCAGGGGTCTGATCCTTGTGTCTTTAATACAATCAGGGACCACACAATAATACATCTATTATGGTCAATAAGAAGCCACACATACAACTGTGGTTCCCCCAAAAATGATAATGAAGCTGAAAAATTCCTTTTGCCTAGTGACCTCGTAGCTATTGTAAGATCATAGAACAAGCCAGGCTCAGTGGCTCACACCTGTAATCTTAGCACTCTGGGAGGCTGAGGCAGGTGGATTGCCTGAGCTCACAGTTTGAGATCAGCCTGAGCAAGAACGAGACCTCATCTCTAAAATTAGCCAGGTGTTGTGGTGGGCTCCTGTAGTCCCAGCTACTTGGGAGGCTCAGACAAAAGAATTACCTGAGCCCAAGAGTTTGAGATTGCTGTGAGCTATGCCCTACCAAGGGCAACAAAGTGAGACTCTGCCTCAAAAAAATAGAACATATTACTCATTACTCACATGTTTGTGTTGACTCTGCTGTAAACAAACTTAATGTGCTGCCAGGTTTATCAAAGCCTAGCACACACAACTATATACAGAATGTAATACTTAATGACAATTAATTACTATGTTATGTTACTGGCGTATATGTCTACTACATTATACTTCTTATCATTATTTTAGAATGTGCTCCATATATCTATATATGTATATATGTGTGTATATATATATATATATATTTATCTGTATCTATCTATGTCTATATCTCTATATATGTCAATATATCTATATCGAGATCACTCTATATAGACATGTATCTATATATAGACACTTCTATATATAGATACATGTCTATATATATCTCTCTATATAAAGTTAACAGTAAAACAGCCTCAGGCATTTCCTTCAGGAGGTATCTAGAAGGAGACATTGTTATCAAAGGAGATGACAGTTCACTGGGTGTTGTTGCCCCTGAAGACTTTCCAGTGAGACAAAGCCTGGAGGTGGAAGGCAGAAATATTGATTGACCTGACCCTGTGTGGGCCTAGGCTAAGGTGTGTGTTTGTCTTAGTTTTTAACAAAAACGTTTTGAAATTTTATTTAAAATTTTAATATAGAAAAAAGTTTATGGAATAAGGAGATAAAGCAAGAAAATATTTTTTGTACAGCCGTACAATGTGTTTGTATTTTAAGCTATTACTACAAAAGAGTCAAAAAGTTAAAAAAAAATTAAAAGCTTATAAAGTAAAAAAGTTATAGTAAGCTAAGTTTTGGGGGGGCAGGGGGTGGGGGAGTGGACACGGTCTCCCTCTGTTGCCCTGGGTAGAGTGCTATGGTGTCAGCCTACACCTAAGTTCAATCCTCCTGCCTCCTGAGTAGCTGGGACTACAGATGCCCACAACCATGCCTGGCTAGTTTTTCTATGTTTAGTGGAGAGGGGGTCTTGCTCTTGCTCAGGCTGGTCTTGAACTCCTGAGCTCAAGCAATCCACCTGCCTTGGCCTCCTGGAATGCTAGGATTATAGGCATGAGCCACCATGACCAGCCACAGTAAGCTGAGTTTAAGTCATTATAATAATTTATATTCAGAGCCTGGCTGTACAGTGTTCTTTTTTTTTTTTTTAATTCAATCTTCCTAGAGACCGTCAAAAATTGCCAGTGCCAACTATATAGCAAGTCATCAGGCTATAGGGAAAAGTTTTCAATTAGCAATAATTGCACCTCAGGTAAATCTCATTGGCTACGATACTGCCACCGTGCAAAGCTGTAAGTGTTAAAGTTCACAGTAGTGTACCGTAATGTCCGAGGCCTTCACATTCACTCACCACTCACCCACGGACTCTCCTAGACCAACTTCCAGTCCTGCAAGCTGCATTCGTGGTAAGCACCTCATACGAGTGTGCCCTTTTATAAAATCTCTTATACTGCATTTTTGCTGTGCCTCTTCTAAGTTTAGACACACAAGCACCACTGTGTTACAGCTGCCCACAGTACTCAGCGTGCATGTGCTGTGCTGGTTTTTAGCCCAGAAACAACAGGCCACACCACAAAGCCGAGGTGTGAGCAGGCTGTGCCATCTAGGTTTGTGTAAGAGCACTCTATGATGTTTGCACAGTGACAAAATGCCTAATGATGCATTTCTCAGAATGTGTCCCCGTCGTTAAAGCCACATGTGACTATGTCTTTATCCTTGAATGTGTAGTTTGAAAGTGAACAAATGGGCAAGTGCTGATGGCCTGGAGTGTCAGCTCACATGCCATCCAGCTCATACTGCCTCTAGCCACCTCCCTGGGATGGGTTCTTGGCTACCCACTTCTCGCCATCCATTCAGTGAACTGCTGTCACCCTCCACTCTTGGCGGAGGGCTAGGAGCATGGAGGGCCAGGTAGGCCATGCAGGTCCCACAGGCCAAGTTGTAGGGCAGGGCTCTGGGAGCCTAGCAGGGTCTGCCCTTGCACTCTGAGTGCCCCCCATGACTGAGGGAGAAAGACATTAAATAATAGCAAATAAAGAAAAAAAAACTTTGCAAGTCTGGGGCTGGGAGGGAGAAGAGCACAGAAAAGAGGGAAAAGTTTTTTTCTGCTTTTTGAACAAGGGCCTTGCATTTTCATTTTGCATTGAGCCTCACAAATTTTAGAGGTGAAAGGAAAACGGAATTCTGAGGAAATGAGATAATTCAGGAACTAAAGAAAATCTTTAAAATGCTATAATATCTTCAGAGCAGTAAGACATGAAAGAGGAACAGAATGCAATAAAAAAAAGGGGAACAGGGAACAAATACTGGCTCTGACTGGATGTGGGGCCTTGGGCAAATTACTTTGCCTCTGTGCCTCAGTTTCTCCAGCAGTAACATGGGTTGTTGTAAGGGTTGGGCAGAAAGTGTGCAGTGTCCCCTGGCAGTCTGCATTTCCCTGCAGGCCCACAGCTGAACTGATGCTTCCCAGCCTCCCTGCAGTCATGTGGCCTCTCAGGGTGATGAGTACTAGCTGATGGGCTGTGGATGACAATGATGTTCTTCATCTTCAGGCTGGCCCCAAAGCCTCCCACAGAGGACCTAATGGACAACAGTGAGGACCTAGAAGATGGTAAAGCCGGGGGGCAAACTAGGGCCAGTCCTTCAACTTGGCACCTGCCAAGTCCCCGGGTTGCACTGAATTCAGATATGAATGAGAAGTCGATGTTACTGTGGTAAACCCTTGAAATCTGGGGGTTATTTGTTCCAGCACTTGGCTTAATCTAATAGAGTCTTGAATGAGACATGCATGTATAAATAATGTGACTCACAGAATGTGCTCGATATATTTGCCTAAAATAGAGGGGACGCAATTCCAGTGAGCAATAGTTTTTTAAAGGATTTACTCATATTTCAAGGTAACTTCATCTCTATTATGTCATTCTTCCACCATGCATGTGAAGCAGGTAGCTGCTCACCTCAGAGAGACTAAGTGACTAAGCCAGGGTCCCAGGGGACGGCATGCAGACAGCCACTCAGGCCTCCTGGCCTCCAGGCATGGGGCTTCTCTGCTCTCTAGGGACCTCTCTGGAGCAGATCAGTGTCTGAGGTTGACCAGGGTGATGACCAGGCCTGAGGCTATAAGCTATAACTATACCTATGTCCCTCAGATTCAAGAACTGCCTCCTCCACCCTCACCCAGGGAACAGCAATGGGGAGTCAGGCAGTGGCTGGCTCACCAGCAAAGGCAGAGTGCAAGAAGGCCAGGAACCCAGAGCCTACAGAAATGTGTCTACCCTGCAAACACCACCACCACACACGTGGCTAGTAGGTTAGTACCACAGATGAAAGGCAATGGTAAAGTCTCATATGATAATTCCACACTTTTGTTTTGCTGAGTACTTTTCCTCCCATTAATTATTTGATTCTCATACTCAGGTACCTGTTCCTATAGAACAGATGAGAAGAACAAAGCTGAGAGCCATGTCCAAGTTCACAGAGGTGGAGTCAGAACTACAGCTCATGACCTCTAACTCAGCTTCATTCATTCATTCATCCATTCACATTTAGTAAGCACGTACTATATGTCAGACTAAGGGCCAGGTATCTTCTAGGGGCTCCATATCTATTAACTTATTTAGTCCCCTCAACAGCCCTAGAAGGTAGGCACTAATGTATCTCCCATTTTATAGATGTGGAAACTGAGGCTCAAAAAGATTAAGTAACTTGTCCAAGGTTCCACAGCATAGCTGGGATTTGAAACCAAGTCTGGTTCTAGAGACTCCACTCTTTTTTTTTTCTTTTGAGACAGAGCCTCAAGCTGTCACCCTGGGTAGAGTGCCATGGCATTACAGCTCACAGCAACCTCCAGCTTCTGGGCTCAAGCCATTCTCTTGCCTCTACCTCCCAAGTAGCTGGGACTACAGGCGCCCGCCACAATGCACAGCTATTTTTTGGTTGCAGTTGTCATTGTTGTTTGGTGGGCCTGGGCTGGATTTGAACCCACCAGCTCAGGTGTATGTGGCTGGCGCCTTAGCCACTTGAGCCACAGGCACCAAGCCAGAGACTCCACTCTTAACCACTTCATACACCCATTGTTAAATGCTAGCACACCCCTGCACACTGTTCTGCCCCTCAGGCTTGTAGTGTATTTTGGAGATCTTTCTATACCAATACACAGGAAGTAGCCTTATTTTTCCTAACAGAAACCTTGAATGACTATAGTATGAAATGTCCCCTATTGATGGACTTTAAGGCTATTTCCAAGCTTTTGTTTTACTGTGGCAAAATACACATAACATAACATGTACCATCTTAGGCACTTTTAAGTGAGTAGTTCTCTGGCATTAAGTACATTTATATGTGTGCAGCCATCACCACCATCCACCTCCAAAACTTTTTCATCTTTCCCAAATGAAACTCTGTACCCATTAAACTAACTCCCCATTCCTACCCTAGCTCCTGGAAACAACCATTCTACTTTCTGTCCTATGACTTTGATGGCAGTAGGTACCTCATTCTAGTGGAATCATAATATTTGTGACTGTCTTATATTTTTGCTATTACAAATGATGCTCCAGTGAAGAACTGGAAGAAACTGATGATTATTGCAGGGAGGGGAAGTAGGCAATTAGGGGACAGGGAAAAGGAGACCTTTTTATTGAGACAGAGCCTCAAGTTATCACCCTGGGTAAAGTGCCATGGCATCACAGCTCACAGCAACCTCCAACTCCTGGGCTTAAGTGATTATTTTGCCTCAGCCTCTCAAGTAGCTCAGACTACAGGCACCTGCCACAACACCGGGCTACTTTTTGGTTGTAGTTGTCATTGTCGTTTGGCAGGCCCAGGCTGGATTCAAACCCGCCAGCTCTGGTGTATGTGTTTGGCGCCTTAGCTGCTTGAGCTACAGGTGCTGAGCCAGGAGACCCTTTTTAGTTCTCTATTCTTTTCATACATTTAGGATTCTGTATTTTATTCATATATTACTTACTCAAAAAATTGTTAAAAAAATTAAAGGTAACCACTAAATAAAAAAGAAAGAAGGTACACAACTTCCAAGCCTACACAGCACTGATCTTGAACTATGCAACAAAACCCATGTCCCTTATGTCCAATTATAGAACAGTAGCTGGCAGGTGGCTGGCCTGCTGCACTACGTTTCCCAGCCTCCTTTGCCTAAAGGCATGTCCATGTGACTAAGCCCCCCAGTGACATCTGAGGGGAAGTAATGTGCTTTTCCAGGCCCAGTGTGAATTTTCCTTTTCCTGTGAGCCAGAGCAAGGACATGGCTGTAACCCAGCCTCGGCCATGCAAACAGGACAAGGCCCAAGGAGATGGTAGAGAAACACCCTAGGTTCCTGGTGATCCTGTGGAGCAGAGCCACTTGCCCACCTAGAACTCCAACTGCCGCATGGGAGAGAAATAAACTGTCTTATTATATTTAAGCTAGTGTATTTGAGGATCTTTTTCTTACAATGGCCAGCTACTATTAATCTAACTAATATAACATATTTGGGGTTATAGGAAACTACCTCCCAAGACATCAAGGAAAGCTTTCCAGGGAAGAAAGAAGGGACTAGAAGCTGAAATGGTGCTTGAGGCTCTTCAGGTGGCATCTGGAAAGGCACCAGCCATGGAGGGCTTTAGGGAAGGTAAGAGGAACATCTTCATTTCTATGATCATGATATCTCCCCTGCCAGGTAAGTATAACATCTTCATTTTCAGTGAAAATTGCCAGGTATGATCTGATCTTGTCCGTCTGTGTTCCTCTCATCTCAATGCTGCAGTGACAACAGTCAGGTTCACGGATTTGGCCTTGGCTAAGTCACGAATTTGCAAGATCTTCCTGTGCAAGTCACCTTACACCTTAGACTTACACTGTTCTCAAAATTAATCAGGTAAAAGAAGGGGCAGCAAGTAGAAGCAAGTCTCTCCAGAACCCATTACTCTTCAACAACCTGTGATGCCAGGCCCAGCTTACGTGGAGACCAAGACAGGACTCCGATCTGACTCCTTGGGTCTAGGCTTTTCCCTGGAACCTGCTGGACCCATGGATTAAATGTTGAATGCAGAAACAGCCCCTGCAAGCCAAGAGCTGTCTGTTACTTTGAAGTTTTGCCAGCCAATCCTGCAAACAGCTTACAGGGGAGGATGATCCTGGGATGTAAAGCATTCAATGGTGAAATGCAGTGGGTGGGCCATCCACACTGGGACTTTAGGACAGGGTCCCCCCAGTATCTCCTGTCAGCCCACTAAAGCATTCCCACTAAAGTATTTCCACTTCAAAGTACAACTCCTACTTATGACCTGATGT